AGATATTGTGTTCAAGTTTCACTACTAATTAATTGCACAACATATAATAAATATCTACGCTAAATCAAAACGGTGGCACTCAAATATATTTTTTTAATGAATTTGTTATCAAGAAACCCAATTTTTAGAGTGCAAACTGTGTTGAGATCAGAACACCTCCTCAATTTGAAGTAGACCCACTTTATTGTGTTTCAATGTAACGACACTTCACAGGTCTAACATTGTCAATTCATAAAAATGTGCTACCAAATGCAAATCTAAAACGACGAGTGACTTTGGAATATCTAACTGAACGACCAGAGAATCTTTACCTTCTTTATTTAAATATCGGTTTTGGTACAATTTGCGGAGCTTTGGCTTTTTGAAGAGCATTATCTTTTTTATTGTGTTGTATTGGGATGGATAGTTGGTCAATTCATTCAACTATTTTTACAAATACGAGTATATAAAACAATTCAGATGATTTCGTACTATATAACTTTGTTATTATTCTACTTTAATCAAAAATCGTTTTCAGGAAACTGTGATAATTACATATCAAAAAACCAACAAACATATTAAAATGGACAAAGCGCACATATAGATATATAATAAATAGTTTTTTAATATTGAATCCTATGCCTGTTTATTGATGTATAGTAATTTTGGTCACCTGGTCGCAGTTGTGAATGTCAGTTTTAAAAACAAGCCTGGTATTGGGTGGGATTTTCAAAATTGCGAGCATCTTCATTGGTTGTATAGAATTTCAGATTATCTAAATCTGATCTGATCTGATGAAATGCAAAGTAAGCGATGGAGACTAAAACGTGTTTGCGCTTTTTTTCTTGTATTATTTTATTAAGTCGTTCCTTTACAGTTGATTTGGTATTATAAAGTGTGCACATTGTGTTCCCGATCTTTGTGTGATATTATATTTTGGTTTGTCATATATGTTTGAAGTCAATATTTGGTTGGAATGCATAAATATGTGAATTATAGATTTTATTGTCCTGGCATCTAGTATTATCCTGAAGAGGGAAAGTCATTTGTCTTCATAAAGTCTCGACCTTTATTTTTTAATCCATAATGGAACATTGGGTCAGTTAGATTTAGCGCTATTTTTATCATATTTTGCCATTATCTTATATAATCCACTTTTCATTACATTTTTTCGTTTTAAACGTGCTTTACAGATAGAAATTCTGCCTAACAGATTTATTATTTTCCAAAAATTAATTGCGATACAGTATCTTCACCATACACAATTTAAATCCATGATATGTGTGTAAACGGCGATCCTAACTCATTTATCTGATCTCAAGTAAATATTTGAATGAAGAGAATCTCTGAAATATGAAAAGAAAAATATCATTTTTAAATGGGCTTTAAAAAATGAATGATATCTTATAATATTACAACAAAAGAGAATTGAATATATTGGCAGATGTATTTAGAAACAAATGATATCATTTTACAATACATGTATTTATAAAGTTATTGATGATATCAAAATAGCAGCCCCCATTACAAAATTTGAAAAAATTTATTTTATAATTCTTGTTAGGGGCCAGGTTTGTTTGTATTGTATATTTGGTCCCTTTTATTGGCCTATAATTTATACCTTTTTTTTTAAATACTTTATATTACTATATATATATTATATATTATTATATTATTATTATTATATTATTATTATTATATTATATTATTATATTATTATATATTATATATATATTATATATATTATTACTATATCCGAAGCTATAAAAGTATATAAAATTTATATTGCATTTGTTAGTAGATTATAAAAGTTAATGTGAGATATGTAATATAATACACTTTAATAAAATGAATTAAATTATTTACATAAATTTACCCTTGAAATAAACTAACAATAATTAAATAGAGATTGCACTGATATTATTATATTATATTTTTTCCATAACTTATAATAATATATATACATTGTCCGTATACTCTCTTTATTTACTGCTTATTTGATTTTCTTGAACTCTCTAGCATGCGCCTCTTTGTTATCAATTTCTCAAGTAGTGTATTTTGATATTTTCAAGATCGGATAAATGATTTTCTTGAGGCAGTTTTTCAGGATATTTTTAACGGTTTCGCATACACTTTTTTGTAAGTGATTTTCTTTAAAGTATTATTGTAATAAAGATATATTAAGACCAGAACCATATTCACTTAATGTTTTCATAGATTTTTTACGGGTACCGATATAATATATTTTTCTTAAAATTACTAGTGCACTAATGATATGTTAAGATTGTTGTTCTAGGTCAGAACCATGTTTATTAAATACTGTTTTCAGGGATCTTTTTGTGGTTCAAATCTTCATTAAATTATGTTTTTAGAGCTCTTTTATGTTTCCACGGCTCTTTTAGTAGTTCTTATATACACTTATACTAAAGATATATAAAGATTGAGGTCAAGGTTGAGGTCAAAAACATGTTTATAAAATCGTGTTTTTTTAGTATATCCGATATATAATTTTTTGCCGGTACTATGAAATTTCCAGTATTATGAAGGTTTTTTTTTATGAAGCTCGGTGTTATTTATTAGAGATTATTGTATTTTTCTTTATATTTGAATCAGCAGTTCAAGTTATATTATTGTTTAATTTGACAACTTTGATTGCTTAGTTCCTGTCAGTTTGGATATATATGGAACAGAGAAATATATTCGTCGGTATATTCTAATTATTGTGCGTAATTATGTTTTTGATATTGTTTGATCAAAAACATAAAAAGCTAAGAGTAAAAATACTAAAAATTTATTCAGAAAACATAAAATTAGTCACAAGATAATATGGATTTAATAATTTTCTACATTGTAAATTACTACAACCATTATGCCACCCATAAAATGCTAAGATTCATTGTCATAGTGTCGTTCTTAAAACTGTTACTTCAAGCAAATGCAATAAGTCTCAAGGGTTTATGTTTACACACCTAAAATGAATATTAACTAAAATACAGCACACACTATTAACATATATGAGACAAACTTATAAACAGAATACTATTAACATAGTTTATACGAAGATAAATAAATAGTCAACATTTTTTAAACTAATTAAGTCAGTAAATTATTCTCATTACTAATAGACTTGTTTTTTTTTCATAAAATATATCCCTTAACACAGTTAATTATATTGTTAATGAGTAAATAATTTACAAAATCTCATTTTATTATAAATTAGTTCCAACGAATATTTTGTATAATAAATTAAAATGTATTTAGTATATTTAAAAAAATTTCTATAGTACATAAGACAACATCGTTGTTGTTGCAAATGTGCTACATTTGTCTGATATAAGAATACAAGACAAAAACAAGAAGAGAACAAACAGAATTGCATCAATAATGGCAATGAAAGTGAAGTATAAAATAATTGTTCAATGAAAGTCTCATTATGCTTTAAAAGTTATTATTTGTATAAACATTCTGAATGGTAAAAAAAAAATCAATATGCAATATACAATGCATGTAAATTAAAATAAGTTGGCTTCTAGTCACGGTTGCCACTTATGGTACTTTAGTACCAAAATTGGTACTTTTTTTTTTATTTTTTTCGTTTGGTACTCATGTTTAAAAAAATAGTACATTTCTGACGACCCAACTTTATTGTGGATATTTCCAATTAATTTTTTTTATAAATGCAACTTTGCACTATTTTATATTTTGTTCATTTATAACACTATGAAAAACACAGAACGAGAAAACAAAAAGGTCCAAAAAAATTTTGGACCTTTTTTTACAGAAATGGTACCTTTTTAAACCAATTTTGGTACAGAAAAAAATTTTCAAGTGGCAACCGTGCTTCTAGTAAAGTAACTTTATATTGACTACATCAAAAGATAGAGTACAAGCTGAGAATAAAGCCTATTATGGATTAAAACGATTAATTACAAGTAATGCGCAAAACATTGAAGCACTTAGTAATAACATAAGGCTACGAGACATGGAGATTAACTAAAACTGAAGCAAGCAAGGTAGCAGTGTTTGCAAGGAAAATACGCAGAAACATTTTTGGCCCCGTGAAAGAAAACGGGTTGTATCGCATAAGATACAAGAAAACGGGTTGTATCGCATAAGATACAACCACGAGCTAGAACGGCTAGCTGAAGGTGATACAATCAACAAATTTATGAAAAAGCAGCGATAAAGATAGGTTGGACATGTGATAAGAATGCCGGATATGAGAGTACAGTTTAAGATTTATGAGAACGAAATAGGAAGCAGCATATGAGATAGTTTAAATTTATTTTGGTCTCATATTATATTACAAACAACAACAATATTCAGTAGTAACTGTATTTTTAGATAAATAATTTAGTGTGATCTATTTACTTTGTCAATATAAATTGTTAGTTATTAAAGTGAGAAGTCAATATTTCATAAAGTTTGTTTATAAAAACAAATTAAATAAGGTCAAGTACTGGTAAAAAAAATTGTAATACAAAATTAATACAAAGTTAAAAAAATAGTGAATTCAAACTATACAATTATTGTTTGAAAACAAATGTAACTGCCAAATGTTTTCTTTTAACAATATTTGAATACAAAATTATACTATAATAATGTCATATATTTGTAAATAATGTCAATATGATGACATATTTACAAAAATCATTTTACCTCCAGTATATATCAGTATATCAGCTACTAAATATATACTGTAATTAAACACAGCAATACAAGTACATAGTCCCTAGGCATATTATCTAAAAAAACGAAACATAATAAAATACTTCATTCTTTAAAAACCTTCCCAAAGAATTCTTTACAATTCATTTATTACTTGATGTGTTATCACTACATTATGTTGTCATTTCTTTATAAGCCAATTTTATACTAGACAATTCCAGCAAGTAAATGCATTCACAGTTGTAAAATATACCATGTATTAACGCCTAATATCTCCTGGGAAGAACGACGACTTCCATTTGAACCAACAACTGTCTGAGCTCAATTGAGATTGGGATATATCAATAACTGTCAATAAATGCGTGTGCCTTAACTGCAGCTTTACTTTCTATAATGTAGCTCATCTGTTTTCTTGATCCTACAGGCACACAAGCTTGAGTCCAATTGATCTTTGGACCTAAGTTGCTCCTGATTGACTTCAATTTAAACCCCGTCGTTCCTTAGTTTATTCTATTATTATTATATACTACACTATTATATTATTATTTATTATATTTGTATTATTTATTTTATTTATTAGTGCTCAAGTGCACTGGCTCAACTAGCTTCAACATAATATTTATTATTATTATTATTATTATTATTATTATTATTATTATTATTATTATTATTATTATTATTATTATTATTATTATTTATTATTATTATTATTATTATATTATTATTATTATTATTTATTATTATATTATTATTATTATTATTATTATTATATTATAATATTATTTATTATTATTATTATAATTATTATATTATTATTATTATTATAATTATTATTATATTATTATTATTATTATATTATTATTATTATTATTATATTATTATTATAATTATTATTATTATTATTATAAACAATCTACTCCCTTCTTACAATAACACGATCCATATCCTAACGCATGTATGTATATGTTATTGTAATTTTCTCAATATTATTTGCTTAATATATCTTTGCGGGTTACGAAAACAACAAGATCATTTTTTCTACTTAAAGAAGGTTTTACGACTTAAGCAGTTTAGGAGTTGTTATCTAGAAAATCAAAAATTTATGCTATACGTAATCCTTATAGAACCACTTAGAACTGAAATATGAATGCATTTTGATTATTATGGGCAGAATATGTAGGTACTCAGAACCGGTAAGAACAGCACAGTTAATATAATAAACGTGGAATGTTTGAGAACGACAGGATTGAAGGACTGTGATCTAGCTGAATGGATATAGACAATGTAGACAATTGGCATGTAGCACTGAGAGACAGGAAACTGTTAGAATTACTAATGATGACTTAACCACTAAAATAATAAGACAAATAATACAACATAAGCTTGATAATGTGGACTTAGACGTAGAGAATTTTTATATATTAATTTATAATAGCACTTTATAGTGATGCACAAAGGTGTGTAACCGAGGACGAGGTGTATAACCGAGGTCTAAAGTCATCATCAGAAAACAAACTTTAGACTAAAGTCAAAACATCGATTAATAAAAATTGTTGCAAAATTAAATTGATTTCTTTGTCTTAATTTTTATTTTTAATTTATAACTTATTATAAATTTATTAATTTATAAAAAAGTTTTGACCAATTAGCCTGAAAAAAACACTTTTATAAATGAATAAATAAATTTGAAAACTTTTAACCAAAAATAATAAATAAGTGCAATAAATAAATAAATAAATATTTACATAAGTGTAGTGCAAAAAATCCCTAGGAAATTTTAATTTACTTTACCTCAATTTACTCGAACTCGTAGCCGGCCTTAATACTACATTTGTGAACTTAATTTTGAATAAAATGAAAAATGCGCTTTTTTTACTCATAAGTAAAAAATGACGTCACGGGAGCTGTACGGGAAGCTCTGTGCAACAAACGTCAAATAGAAATTTTC